TGCTTTCGGTGGTAGATGACATGTCCATTGATAGCAAGACGTCTACGTTGACTTCATCAATCTTAAGATTTGCCGGTTCAACTCAGTTCTTCGGATGTATACATGGGAGTAAGATGTGCATGCGTGAGTTTATAGGGATGAGTATGTACTCGTGTATTTGAGGGTCTATGTCTGTACTGGTTCTCGGAAAAATTCTAGCCACTTGGATACTATAGTGTGACCCTTTTACCTATAGCAACGCACAGCATACGTGCTACTATTTTTAATATTACTAATGATATTATAAAGCTAAAAACTTAATTATGGCTGATTATGTTAATTTTAAATAATATGACCAATGATATATATTCCATCTGTTTCAAATTATAAGTTATTCTAAGTCAAAGTATCTTAAGTTTGACCAAAATTATAGAAATAATTACAAAGATTTATGACATCAAATAGATATACTATGAAAATAATTAATGAAGAATCTAATGATTCTTATTTAGTATCATTAGTGTTACTATTTTATTATATAAATTTGGTCAAAGTTAAAATGCTTTGACTCTACAAGAAAGTTAAAATGACTTATAATTTGGAATGGATGAAGTATTGTAGGGTTTTTTTTTTTGCTATATTGTTTTTTCAAAATCATTACATGGATACTTATAAACAATAAAGTTAATTGGATATCCAAATGCTATCCAAATTGTTTTAGTACTTAAGAATATCAGATCCATATCCATATCCAACAAAAAAATATGGTAAATAATGACATTCATATCGCTTTCACGGATATCCGATGGTTTCCGCCCCTGCTCCCAGGGTGTCGATGAAAGGGGACGCAAACCATTCCAACCCCACCGCCTCCACGCCCGAATAGAATCATGCAAGGACGCTTCCAAACTTTTCCATGACAGAACAGGAGTGCACCCGTTATTTGGTCGGGCATATCAAAAGTTGAGTTTGGGATATGCTTGTTTCATAAAGAAGCAAACCTTCACTGCATAGATTCCTGCCAAATGGGAACAATAACAAAGACCAAATGGTCCATAAGGTTTATAAAAAAAAACCCGATGGGGAATGGCTACTGGCCCAGCTTTCACTTTCACATGGTTCTCACTGCAGATCGTCATTTTAATGCTTGCTTAAGCAATATGGTCTCCTGTTAGCACTGAAGCAACAAATACAACTGCCCAGACAGAAAGGCTTTGTTGTCTTCGCATTGCATTAACACTTCAGATCTTATTGCAACACTTCTGACATCTAGCACCTTCATTCCAAGTTTTCCGAGCATTTGATTACACAATATATTTCAGAGAATTCTTGATTCCTCCCAACTGTAGAGTGTATAGTGTATACAACATGACTAAGCCCTCCAGGACTGCTTCCTTCTGAAAAGAGGTTCCCAGCTTGAGCAGTTCTCTTTATGATCCTGCACATGCATAAATGTAATGATGTCAAATTAGAAGCCATAAGCATGGCGTCGTGCATTAGTGATGTTAGCTTTGCTCCACTGGACCCAGTGATTTCTTGTGAGGAAAAGAAATCCCAAAATGGAATACCACAAAGACAGCATTAACAGTGACACACGAATATCCTGCTATCTCCCTATCAGAAATACAGGAGATAGAAAGTCAATCACCATCAAGGAACTGCCTGAAGGCAACAAAAGCTACCAACATATCTGAGCCTTGTGCAGCCTGAGCTGCATGAACTAGAAATTTGCCTTTCACAGGATTTTTTTTAGAGTTTTAGGGCTCTTCCCCAGTCTTAGCATTAAGCAAAGACACAAAAGGTTCAGATACAGCATTCAGGTGGAATACACCTGTCCAGAAAGTATCCTTCCACAGGAATTCTAAAAAAAAATGTATGCATCTATAAAACTAAAAGGACTTTTAGTTAGGACATTCCGAACATGATACTCTTACTCTATTCCAAAGTTTGCACCAAGGGCAGGAGATTGCTTTGAACTTCAGAAACACACATGTTGCTTTGCCCAAAACATGTTGTGCGACAAGCATATAAGGGAGTTGCCTCAATGGCCAAAAGGAGGCTTCTAAATTTAAGTAAGAACAAATAAGTAACAATTGATAGTTCTTTTGACTATTCTAATCTTATTAATGCTATGGAGTGGTCAAGAACAATGGGACACCTCCTGTATGAAACAACTTTGGACAACTAAGCACTAAGAAAACATGATTATCACCATGCTTTTGCCTGGAGTCAATAAGAGTGTGCAATCATTAGCTCGTGCGCCACATCCCTCCAACTCTGTTTGGAGTTTCTTATTTTCCTATAAGTAAAGAGCTGCCGTCAGTCTAAGTCAAATACTTGCACAGCCACCTATGCATTCTCACATATGTAACACCAATGAGGATATGGTATGATCCTGACATTTTCAGGTCACGATATATCCTCTTTGCATGTGCAGTCATGTTGTTCAAGACGACCTTTGTACGTGGTGTCACACAGCATGACAACAAGGTAGTGGGGTTTCCAATTTCTAAAATCCAGCCACACTTGGGTTGTGAACAACCAGTGGCTAGTCTATAGTAAAGCGGCGACTCTGAAATTGGTTTCCTGTTGCTTGCATTTTACTCTCGCAAAATCTCACAAATGACCAAATAGATGGTCAACTTCATAGAGGTGCTCGCTGCCTAGGATGACATAATGAGCGGCCAACAACAAACCTGCATCTTGGTCGTAAGCTTCCTAATTTGCACAGTGGATATGTGCATGGTTAGGTCATAAAATCTCCCATAAAAAGGTGCATATGATACATAGCAGAAAGACAACCTAGACACGCAACAAGACAAATCCACAGAATATGTATGCGCATATGTCAATCCTATAAGCAGCACATGATAGGGAAGATCTCAAACAGGACCCCCCACAACCAAAATTAACCAGTAATTTTTTTCTTTGATGGACGGGCCTTTTTTATTAAGGTGGAAGGGCATTATTGGGGGGTACTATTGCACTTGCACTTGCAGTTCCCTCCATTTCCGTTATGTTCCCTCACTCAACTATCCTCTTACACACTGTGGCATAGCAGTCAGTGTGCACTCACTCCACGTACTATTCCAGATCCTTTTGCTATGCATTTAGCCATTTACCATACAATAGTGGGTGCACTGTATACACTTTTGGTTATTTGATATATTATAACTCAGATGCTCTGTTATCAACATTTTGGTTATCTGATACACTTTGACTCTTAAATGGATGCTCCAATTTTATACTGATAGCAGATCTTCTTTATGGTTATTTGATATAATTTTGACTTGTTAAAACGGATGTGCTGACTGTATAATAGTATTTCAAGTTTTGAACTACTGAAAAATTATAGTTAAATGTGATCCTGATAAGATGCAGAGTCATGCCACAACGATTACTAGTATAGAGGCCTGCCATGTAACCATCATTGCATCATCATCATCATTAGTTCATCACAGAAAACGCTTTAATGCTCATAAAATAATAGAGATCCATAGAAGTTAATCTAATCATGCATTCATGACCAAAGAACTACAAGCATACCCGATGCTATGTAGCATTACAAGACTAAGGTATCATTTCATAATCTTGTACAAATTAGAAAAGTAGAATACAGAAGACATAGAAAACGTATCAACTACTAAAACATGATAGGTTTTAGTTTACTTTGGCCTTAGTTACTAGAAAGGCAGTACAACTTCTAAAGTAGCTTCTGCCAAGTGCCAAATGTAGTTGACCTTGTGCTGTGGGATAATGTGTTTCATCATAACCCTGTAGCGGAATCATTACTGGTAGGCCATACCTAATGTTACAACTTATTTCATTTTTAGCTGTCTCAGCCAGCATCCATGTATAAAAGGAGCAGAAATGTGATATCTCGTCCCCATGAATCCTCCTAAGGCAATAACATACCAGTAGAAGAAAATATGCCTAAAGACACTTTTGCACTCGGCATCATCATTTTAATTCTTCTCTTCAATGTATCTGCAGGTATGTGGTTCGCTCTTGCTTTATAATAATTGCTACACCATCAATACCATACCTGAACATGTTCTTTTGTCTTAATGCAGGTCAAACTATAGTTATCGAAAATGATAATGTTGTAACTGCAAGGTTGACAAAGGTCTGTCGACTGTCCTCCTCTGTTATTATTTAAATTTGAGACATGGAATCAGCAAAAATCTTGTCATCTTCACTATAGAAAGTAATGCTTGAAAGAATCATATAGCAATATCTTATAAACTGACAATAATGATGAGGCCTGTTGAACCCTAAAATCATGTCAACAAATATCAGAATTTTATGTTTATATGTTTCTTTGCTCATTAGCTTAATCAACGTATGCTTTTATCCTCTGAATACAGGAGCATAGCAGAAAGATCCTTACAGAGGTTCAGGATTATGATTACGGAGGGGCAAACTCTAGGCATGACCCACGCAGAAAGCCTGGGATTGGGGGCAGGAATGGCTAGACCACTAAGCTCCTTATTATACAATCTGCATATAATTGTGTGAAGATGCTACTACACGAATGAGGTTATATGAGGGAGATTATTCTCTTGCTACAGCTAACCTACGATACAAATATTTGGAACCCTGTTGTGTGTCTTTATGTATCCAATTGGAACAATGAGCCATATAGATACTTGGATCCGTCTATCCGATAAACAGTCTAGCGGGATGAAGTTGAGACTAGCTCATATAAATGGCACCTATGTGTACTTTTTTTGGCACCCAAAAAATGTGTACTGCTAATTGCTAAAGCATACTTGAGGCAGTGCATCATCTATGAGCCATTTTGTGAGGTGATAAATGTAGCATGATCCTTGTGTGTTCATCCATTTTTCTTCAGATTTTGACTAAACAAGCCCTCTTGCATATCGATTGCCACCACACTCATCTCACAGGTACAGCTGATGAAACAGACAGACTGAAAAAGCAAAAGGAAAAACTGTACAAAAAAGAAACGACTGGTAGTAAATTGTCAAATGCACTTACCAAATAGCACGTGATTTTACTCAGTTTCCTTCCTCTTTAATGAAATAAGGACCAGGCTTGATAGGATAAGGATAAAGGTAACCCTCAGGCCGAGAAAACCCAGCTTCATTCATGCGGTCACTGAGAACATGCAGTATAGGCTTCTTCAACCCATATTCATGCCTGTTCTTCTCAAGATAGGCATTAGCTTCTTCAGCCACCTCCATGGTGAATGCAAATCTATTCTCTTGAGATAACATTAGCTGATTAATGTCCAGGCATACGATCTTCCCATTCTCCCTTACTTTTCTCACTTTCTCTTCTAAGAAAGGGATACGATCCAACTTGTAACGTAACATGTCATCTTCTTTGGTCTGCAAGTATGATATATATAGTTAAGTGTGATGCATAGATGAAGGTCAGTAAACGTTGTGAATTCAAAAGGGTGATAAAAGATTGTCCCACGCGCATAATCAAAGACAGACGTGAATGCTACAGAAATTCATTGCAATTTGCATTCTATTCTTTGCATAAACAACTGTGGCGTGCCACACTTGTGCCTGTCTGTTCACTTAAATGAACCAAGGGTGAATAAGGCTACAATGTTAACCCAAAAGAGAAGTGGGAATTGTCACTCGGAACAGCTAGTGCAATAGTACTGATGATCTTGGAACTACAACACCGATGATGCTTTTCAGGCCTCCTGAACTGCTAAACACAACTGTTCCATCCTTAACAGCGAATGGAAAAATATATTTCTATACTGCAACAGGGAATGTCGCCCTCAAATCTTGTATAGATTACATAATCTTCTACTTCCAAAATTTGATAGCAAACTTCTCCTTCTAGCGTGCTAATTGGCTACCATGCCGAGTGAGATAAGTACGAAATTCCAAGCATTGTTTGGTTGATGCAAATACCAGTTTCCGACGACGCCACACTCGCCGCCCGCTGCTGGCCCGCCCGTCCCCACCTCCGCTACTGCTCCCAGAGTCACTATTGCTCTTCTTCTTCTGTGAGAGAATGGAACAAAACAAAACAAGGGCAAGTGTGTGTGAATTGGGGGAGGAGTGGGAGGAGAAACAAAGAGAGACGGAGGAAGTTAGCTCCTGTTGTGCGTCCACCTGGGCTCTCATGGAGATGGTGGCGCCGCTGCGGCCGACGCTCCTGCCTGCTCGCGAGGAGAAGGGGAAGCCGGCGGCCAGGTGGCTGCCGTGGTGGTGCGAAGCGGCGACGAAGGAAGCCATTGCCATAGCCATTTTGCAGGAGAGGTAGCCGAGCCTCTCACGGTCCCACACCTCATCTGGTTCCCGAGCGGTTTTGGCGTTGGCTGCTGGCAGACGGCACAGGTCCGTTGGGCCAAAAGTGATCAGACCGCGATAGTTTCCCTTGGGTCGGCCCACGACGGTGTCGCGCTGGGACCATGGGCCGGACACTGACAGGGGTCGCGCCGAGTCGACGGAAGGACGGCACAGGCGCACCGCGCACAGCCGATCCCCATTCCCGTCCCCATCTCGGCGAAGACGACGAGCAACCGCAGCAGCATCGATGGGCGTGATGGGGATGCTCAGGATCTTCGTGGTGCAGGAGCCGGTCGTCGCCGCCTCCTGCCTCATCGCCGGCTTCGGTAACTCTCTTCCCACTTCCCCAGTCACACCTTCAGCACGAATCCTTGATCCACTGCTCTGTAGCCTTATGTGTGTGCATTACTGGTTATTCTACTGCAACCTGACCTCCCGGATGCAGGTTGCATTTGTCACATGTGACACAGTGGAACACTGAGCAAAAAACATCAGAGAGGCGTCTTCCTAAGAGCTTAGCGTATTTTCATTATTTACTTTGTTACTCAGTGTCTGTAACGTGGGTCTAGGGCCAGAGTCTTTCCGGCATACATATGCCTGGACATTGTAAGCGAACATCTTATCGAACAAGTAAAGTAAAATATGAACACGCTAAGGCAGGGGCTTTCCTCGTCGGTGTCTTCTCCCCCGATCTATGCCTCTCGTAGTGCTCACGTCGACGGCTTGACGTCGGCGGCCACGGGTGTTACAGTGGTATCAGAGCCGGTCTATCCTCGGCCACGTTTCTCGATTCCACTCAGCTTCGATCATCGATTCGTAATTCCGGTTGGTAGGTTGATCTCAATCCTGCATCCTTGTGGTGTGGGCGAGAGGTCCCGTAAATCCTTCCTTTGGTTGAATCGGGTCAGTTAGCGGCGTCGGATTCGTCTATTCCAAGATCCACCAACTTAACATCCACCCACCCCACCTCCTCCATAGCTACCTGGATTCGGCGTAGTTCCTGCACTACATCAGTGTGGCGGCACTGCAACGGGTTCTCTTCGTCAACAATCGACTTCGAGCGGGCGCAATCACCAGCAGCTCGTAGGCAATTCCATCCTCAACGGCACGATTCTCGACTGGGGGACTACATTAACAAATTTGGTTCGGTGGTATGAACCATTTGTGAGAATTTCTCAAACCTCTCACTCGATTTCATTCTATAACGCTTGAATCGGTGGCGAGGGTTGCGAGGCGATTGTTCTCGTGTAAAATTCTGTAGCAAACTGGTTCAATTGCGGTGCTGCGGCGTTCGGAGGGGAAGTGTCCATTGACTTGGGTTGCGGGGCACCTGTTCCCGTGTAAAATTCCTCGGTCGAGCCTCACTTCCAGGCGGCGGTGATTAGTTGTTGTGTGGAGCAGACAATAGGGGAGGTGTGATCTAAACCTGTTGCTTCACTAGTTTCAGTTACGGCTCCGTCTAAGGCTTCCAATCCTAAACCATCGAAGCAGACACAAATTCTATTGGATCAGATGACTAAGAGCGTTGATGATGACTAGTCCAAATGGGACCAGATGATGGACCATTTTGATCTCTTGTTCAATCGTATGACTGATATGGGTATTGTCCAGCAGGAGATGAAAACTCAAATTGAGTTGAACAACGCTAAAGTTGACAAGTGCTTTGCAGATCAACAGTTCATTGCTCAGCAAGTCAGAGCTAATGGGCAGGCAGTGGCAATTCGAAGAGGAGAACAGATCTATCAGTCATAGTTCATCTTCCCTAGTGCACGAAGATGTAGAAGAACATTTCCCGAACATGTTTGCCAAGGACAAGGGGATTAAGAAACCTGAGCAGTCCAAGTCTCACAGGTCCAAAATTGGGCCTAACAAGGGAGAAGGGGTACCTCATCATGCTCTGCCTAAAATGCTCTTTCCCAAGTTTGATGGCAGTCATCCAAAGATATGGATTGACAATTGCTGCAATTATTTCTCTATCTATAATGTGCCAGAGAGACTTTGGGTGTCTTCTGCCACAATGCATCTAGAGGGCAATGCTGCCAAGTGGTACCAGGCCTATAAACATACACATATTAAGATCTCTTGGCTAACCTTTTGCTTGGCTATGGAACAACAATTTGGAGCTGATGATTATAGAAATGCTCTCACTGAATTGATAGATCTTAGGTTGTCGGTGCATAAAGTAACCAACAAGTAAATATTTATAGTTTTGTCGTATGTTGTGATCGGAGGTGGCCTAGCACTCAATGACATAGGGTTTATAGTGGTTCAGGAAAGGTGCCCTACGTCCAGTTTGAGTTGGTCGATGACTTTATTCCTGAGCCCAGGTGCTCAAAGTTTGTAGTGGGGTTACAAACGAGAAGGAAAAAGATGGGGGGTACAAGAGGTCCGGTCGGACTCCTGCCGGAAGGGCCAAGAGTAACGGGAGCCCGCTATGAACTAAGTGTTCGAGCGTGTGCTCATGGTTCGAACCTGGCGGTTATGTACTAGTGAACTTGATCGATCTAATGAATCTGGAATGCCTTGAATCTGAATGTTGGGAGAGAGAGCGTCCCCTTTTATAGATGAAGGGGATGGCCTTACAAGTGAGAGGGAGAGAGTACGTATGCTTCTAATCCTTATTGCCCACGCCGGTGAGTACAGGATGATGGTAGGCGCTCACAATACTGTTGAATGTCAGATGCACGTGGGAGGTTGTGTTGTCTTCTTCGGGTATGGCAGACGTCGGCTCCTGCCACACTGTTGATACCTGGAGGTATGCAAGGGGTTTTTACCATGTTTGTCTGGTACTGTAGAAGCCGGTGCCCACAACACTGTCGATGCCCAGAGGCATGTGGGGGGCCTCACCATATGTGAGTTAATGGCGCCCACTATACTGTAGGGGAAAATATCGACGCCTACAACACTGTTTGGGCTCTGTCGTGCTAGGGAGGTTGCAGAGTACTGTTTCTGCTGGTGCACTAGGTATGGACCCTGGTATTGCGGTTTGACTTGGGCGCCCTACCTTGCTTTCTCTGTTCGTTTCCTGGTCCTTACCGAGCGGGCGTCCCTGATCGGTTGGTTCCAATCGGCTCTGATTGCGCCAGTCGAAGAAGAGCAGTGAGCAGGGGTTTGGTGCACCCCCGATCGGAGACATGGGTCAGAGTAAGAAGTAGTGCTTTGGCCAGGTCTTCCGGTTGGAGAGGCCATCTAGAGGTGGGCCAGAGACCGATGCGGACGCTCTGGTTGGATAGGTGGGCCGGAGTCGAGAAGTGGGCGTCGTTCCTCCTCGGCCAGCCTTCGGTCGGTGATTGGATCGCCCTTTTGGCCTATCGTTCAAGTACTTGGGCCAGCCCATGAGTTGCGCGTTTATCTGCTTGGGCCGAGCCTTTGTTGGAAAGTCGGTCCACGAGGGACCCCGGGTTTATGAACCCGATAGAGCCCCCCGAGCCCCCGGGTGATTCGGATAGAATCATCTAGAGAATTTTTGTCTTGATGGTGGGTGCGCGCGAGCGCACCTGCGGGTGTAGCCCCCGAGCCCCGAGGCGGTTCGGGCAGAATCATCCGGGGGGTTTTTGTTTTTGCCAATGGGGAGGTTTTTGTTTCATTGGCGGGTGTGCGCGAGCGCACCCGCGGGTGTAGCCCCTGAGCCCCCGGGCGATTCGGGCAGAATTGTCCAGGGGGTGTTTGTCAGCGGGCATGTGTGCATGTTTTTTAGTCAAGATGGAGTCATCATCCAAGGCGTCATTGCACAGCCAAGGCGTTTAGTTTTTGGGATCGGGTTGAGACGGAGCTCGCGGATCCAGGCATCGGTGCGAGTTGTGGGATCGGGTGAGGCAGTTAGTTTTAGGGATCGGACGAGATGGAGCTCGTCGGTCCTGGCGTCGGTGCACGCCATGGGATCAGCGAGTCGGATTCATGGATCCTGGCGTCGGTGCAACCTACATAGCCGAGGTAGTTAGTTTTGGGATCGAACGAGATGGGGCTCGCGGATCCTGGCATCGGTACGCGCTGTGGGATTGGGTGAGTCGGAATCGTGGATCCTGATGGAGCAAGTTCGGGGTCACAGACCCAGGCTGTTATTCAGTTAGTTTAGGGATCGGACGAGATGGAGCTCGTGGATCTTGATGGGGTGAGTTCGGGGTCATAGACCCAGACAGTTAGTTAGTTAGTTTAGGGATTGGACAAGACGGGGTTCATGGATCCTGGCGTCGGTGCGTGCCATGGGATCGGGTGAGTTAGAATCATGGATCCTGATGGGGCGAGTTCGAGGTCGCAGACCTAGGCTGTTAGTCTGTTAGTTTAGGGATCAGACGAGATGGGGCTCGTGGATCTTAGATCTTGGCGCGTGTGATCGTGGGATCGGGCGAGTCGGAATCGTGGATCGATGAGTCAAAATTGTGGATCTTGAGACCAGGCGTTTGGTGTCTTGAGCCCCCGAGCCCGTTGGACCTTAGTAGGGGTCAGTTTGAGTTGTGTGCGTTACCTCCGTCCTCGGTTTCTCACAACCGGAGAGGGTGAGTTTTGTCGCTTGTCCCGATCGCTCGGGTTCGAGTGACGCGCTTCGGTGAGTTCGCTAATGGGTATGATTGAGTGGAATCCGGGTCCATCGTTCATGACGGGGTCGGCATAGCCCTCTTGTTACATTCCACTGCTCCTTTACCTATAACCCGGCAGATGCCTGGGTCATTCCGGAGACCGACCTAGGTGGTCTAATGGACTCCCCTCGATGGAGATTATATGGGCTTGGCAGAGGCTTAGGTGAATGAGAAGGTTTAGATGACCCTATCTGCCAGACTGGGCGAGGGCCGCACGGGGCTCATCTGCATTTTTCTCCCCTAGTTCTGTTTGACGTGGGGCGGCCTCAAGCCCTTCATGGGCCGGCCTTCGAACCCCGATCGATCGTTGCTCATGTCGAATGAGGCAATTGCCGCTTCGTGACGTAACACAGAGCGTTGTGATGCATTTTGCTGCATGTGCGATGCTTAGTTCCCGAGCCCCCGGGTGGTTTAGGGCTCGAATCATCCGGGGGGCATGGGTGTATGGAATGAATGCACGTATGGATGTATGAAATGATGTAAATAAAGAAATAGCGGGGGTCGGTAGTGTTACCTTGATGACTCGAGTGACGGTGTTTTTGAAGAGCTCCTGGGCGCTGGCTTAGTGTTGGGGTCGGAGCCCCGGCTGTCTTGGCATCAGGGTCAGAGCCCCCGGGCGTTGGCTGGGCGTTGGGGTGTGTCCGGACCGGACCTTCCAGGATGTGGGCGAACGGTTCATGGATGTCATTGATGAAGACCCCGGCTGGGGATGGATCCTGCCTGGCGGCCAATTTTACA